GCAACAGAGGAGGGGCTACCTTAAATGCCCTTCCCTGATAATGAGATTGATGACTGACTTATAGGCCATCCTATAGCCTTCAGCCAGCAGCTGATGGAAGTGGAAGCAGACACCCACAGCTAAACACTGAACTGAACTGGAATCCAGTTGCAGAGAAGGAGGAGTGACAAGCAAAGGGGTCAAGACCAGGCTGGTGAATCCCACAGAAACAGCTGACCTGAAGTAGGGGGAGCTCTTGGTCCCCAGAGTGATAGCTGGGAAACCAGCATGGGACTGATCCAGACCCCATGAACGTGGGTATCAGTGAGGAGACCTTGGAAATCTATGGGTCCTTTTGTAGTAGATCAGTACTTATCCCTAGCATAGGAATAAACTTTGGGAGCCCATCACACATAGAGGGATACTTGCTGAGCCTAGACACAAGGAGCCTAGGCCCTATTCCAAAGTATATGACAGACTCTGAAGACTCCCTATGGACGTCCTCACCCACCCTGGGGTGCAGAAAGGGTATGGGATAGGTATGGTGTTAGTTGGGGGGGCAGGGGAGGAGGGGAGCCAGAGGGAACTGGAATTGACATGTAAAATAATCTTGTTTCTAATTTAAATAAAAATGGAGAGAAAGAAAAAACATAATAAGTCACAGTAAGTAGAAGAATGAATAAGGATACACTAGAGAAGATTGACAAGGCCTAGTTTGTTTCCTTGAAAATATTAATAAAAGGATAAACCTCCATACAATTCTCCTTCCTTTTCCTAGTATAGCTAATATGTTCTTTCTCACTTAGATATACTGAGAAATGATTTCCCAAGAAGGACCTTCCGTTATGAAAATCTGCTGAAGTATTTCTGGGTCCTTCACTTTGACATCCAATCTGCTAACCTCTGCTAAGAAAATGATGTACCCTTGGGGACAAGATCACAGATAATAATGGCCTCTACTTTTAGCTTATGTACAATGATCAATCTACTTGCTTCATGTTTACTTTCAACAGAAGAAATGAGCCTATAATCTCACAGAGAAAACAGACAGAGGTGTGCTAGGCATGAGGTCCCTTAGGGCTCAGTAGCATTCATTCCTACTGATCATTCTGAACAAGTAACTTAAATAGGTGCAGGGAGCAAGTGACTATAAAAGGGCAGGTGGGGACTGGCTGAAGTAAGAGTTGGTGTTTGCTATGTAAGAATGTGAACTTAGATCTTCTGAGGTTCCAAGAGAAATTGAAGCTATGGAGTTTAAATAGCTGCCAAAGCCCAAAACATTTCTATGTTTTAATTTTTCCTATGACGAACATTGTATGAGTTTTTTTTTTCTATAGCGTGGATATGGAATGCATCCTGAAGGCCCACGTATTACAGATTTGCTTGTCAATTGTAGTACCACTGGGAAGTGGGGAAACCTTCAGCAGGGGAGTGCTAGTGGGAGGGAAGCCAGGTCACTGTGACTTCCTTTTTCTAAAGCCATTTCAAAGGCCTGGAAACGAAGCCAAATTGGTCATGGTGCATGATCTCAATGTGTTCTTGAATTCAGTGTGAAAGGGCTTTATTGAGAAGTTTTGTCCATATTCATCAAGGAATTTGGTTTATAGTTTTCTTTCTTTTTTGCTGTTGCTGTGTCTTTATTTAATATTGTTATCAAACTAACCCTGGTTTTCTAGAATGAACTAGACAGTTTTCTTCACTATTTTATGAAATACTTTAAGGAGTGTTGACCTTAGCTTTTCTTTACAAGGTAGGAAGAATTCAGCCATAGATATGCCTAGTCTTATGATTTTCTTTGTGGTGAGACTTTTTGGGGTACATATTCATTGAACACAGTATTCTACTCTATAAGGACATTTCCATACAAGTATATTATGTATTTGGAACACATCACCCACCTGCCCCCCTCTTCATCTAGCCCCTCCCTTGCATTAGTCCCCTTTGTTCTCCTAGACACCTTTGCTTTTACTTTCTTTATTAATATTATTTTTATTGATTTTTCATATATTTTTGTATTTATCTTTCCCTACCCCAATTCCTCCTAGATCCTTCACACCGCCCTACCTACCCAACTTCCAAAAAGTGAAAATAAATAAAAACAAGTTAAATAAAACTAATATGAGAAAAATACCCCAAACCAAATAAAACAAAACCAAAAGGGACACAAAAGACATGGAGTCTTTTTTTGTGTTAGCCAACTACTCCTCAGCTTGGGGCTTGTCCTGGAGTGTGGTTGATGTATCTAGTGACATTCCATTGGAGAAAACGGATTTTCCCTTTTCCAGCAGCTGTCAATTGCAAATGGCTTCTTGTTTAGAGATGGGACTGTGTGTCCACTTCTGTTTCTCTGTTCTGGGATTTGGTCAAGTTTGAACCCATGTGGGTTTTTGCATGCTATCCCATCTTTATGACATCATTTGTGTATCAGTCCTGATGTGTTTGGATGACACTCATTACTTTGCTTGTACTTTCATGTCATATATGCATACGTGATTTTACATATCTCTATAAGAAGTCTGGAATCCACAAATGAGAGAAAATGTGATATTTATCTGAGACTGACTGATTTGCTTAATATGATAATCTCCAGTAGCATTTATTTTCCTGCAAATGACAAATTTTTGTTTTTATGACTAAAACTGAATTGTATGTATGCACCACACATGCTATCCATTACCTTATTAATGGACACCTGGGATAGTTCCATAATTTAGTTATTGTGAATATTGTTGCAAGAAAATATAGATGTGCAAATATTTCTGTGATCTGTTGCCTTTTACATCCTTCAGGTGAATATCAGGGAGTGGTATATTTGGGGCAAGTTTTGTTTAGGAATATCCATAGCAATTTCCCTACTGACTAGTCTAGTTTGCAGTCCCATTAGATGTCCCCTATTCTCTGCATACTTGTCAACATTTGTTATTGGTTTTCTGAATGACTGTCATTCTTACTGAGATGAGATGTCATCTCAAGGTAGTTTGACTTTGAGTTTTACTAAAGGTTATGGATGTGGAACATTTTCCATATGTTTATTAGCTATTTTTAGTTCATCTTTTTGAGGACTGACTACTTAATTATCTCATTTATTGCTAAGTTTGTTTGATTTCTTGTTGTTTGGTTGTTTGTTTTTTGTGTATTCTAGATATCAATCCTCTATCTAATATGTAGTTTCAGTTTCTTAATTTCATGAAATACCACATTTCAATTGTCGGTATTTCCTGGAGTTTTCATAAATTTTTGACCTATGCTTGTATCTTGAAACATTTCACCTATATTTCCTTCTAACTGTTTCATAGTTTCAGTTCATACAGTAAGATGTCTGATTCATTTGGAGTTGAGAGATACATGGGTCTAGTTTCACAACCAGTTTTTACTGACGGACATTTTTTTCCTGCTTCAATCTTGTTAATTGTTACTGATCTGTTTAAGTTGTTTATGTTATCCTGATTTAATTTTGGTAGGTCATTTATGTCTAGGAATTATCCCTATTATAGTTTTCCCATGTTTTTGGAATATAACTTATCAAAGTATTCTCTAATGATTCTTTGTATTTCATTAGACTCTGCAGCAATATTCCCTCCTTCACCTCTAGTTTTATTAATTTAGCCTCTCCTCTCTCTTGTTAGTTTAGTTAAAGAGTTACTAATCTTGTTTTTTTCTCAAGAAATTAACTAATTTTTTTTACCCATTTGACTCATTCAAGAATGTATTGTTCCATCTCCATGTATTTATATAGTTTCTGTAGTTTTTCTTGTTTTTAGCTTCTAGTATTATAGTACAAAAATATAAGAGATTATCTACTCTCTTATGCATTTGGTAAGATTTTATTTGTGGCCTCATATGTGATCTATTTTAGAGGAGTTTCCATAGGTGCCTGAGGAGAATGTTTATTCTGTTTCTTTTGGATGAAATATTCTGTAAATATGTTAAGTCCATTTGATCTGTGGTATAGTTTAGCTCTGAGCTTTCTCTGTTAATATTTACTTTGGAGGACCTGTATAGAGATGAAAGTAGTATATTGAAAATTCATACTATTATTCTATCAAGTCCTTTCTGATGTTTTGTGTCCATTACTGCTTGCTTATCAAATTGGGAGCCTCAGTATTTGGGGCATCTGAATTGACAACTGATATGTCTTACTTATGTTATTTATATTTTTTGAAAATTTCATTCACAAGTATTTATATCTTTTCTACCCATCTATTTCCCAACCAACTCATATTTAAACCTACTAAGTCAAATGACTATTATGTATATGCAAATGTGTTTAAGGCAGATCACTCAGGATTGGGGTCTTGTCCCTGAATAAAATTGATTCCCTCTCCCTCTCCAGTAGCCATTTATGGTCTGTAGCACTTCATCCAGGAGCAGGACCCTGTGAATTAGGCATGTCAATTGATGTGGTCTTTGAAGGTCTGGTGAAGGCAACTATATCATTGAGAGTTCATAGGTGGAACATTCCTGTCATGTCAAAACACATTATCTCACAGTAGTTGTCCCTGTCACCAAGCTTTTATAATCTTTCCATGCCATCCTCCTCAATTTTCCCTGAGACACAGGTGCTGTGTTATAGATATTCATTATGAGAGTGGGAACACCATGGCTACTTACTGTCTATATTTTACTTACTTTCTCTTATAGGTTGTGAGTCTGTCTATGGTCTCTGTCTGTTGCAAAGTGACCTTCTTTTGCTATGAGTGAGAACTGCAAATATTTATGGGTATAAGGATGATTGTTTAGAAAGTGATTGGAAACTGTATTAATTTAGCGCAAGGGTAGCAGTAAGTTCTCCTATATGGGTTGTATCTTCTTGGTGAATTATTGCCTTCAGTGTCTTTCTTTATCCTTTCTAATTTTGGCTTCACACAGCTTTGTTTTGTTTTGTGTTCACTTGATAGATTATTTTCCATCCTTTGATTCCCAGTCTCTGGCTGTCCATTTGGTCTACGATATAGTTAAGCACTGAAATTTCTTTATTTTTCTTTTGAATGATCTCTCTAGAGGTGACAGTGAGTTATTGAAAAACTATGGAATGCTTTATAAATTTGTGCATCATTCTTGTGCAGAAGCCATGCTAATATTCTCTTTATCTTTCCAACTATTGTACATATACTGCAGAATCAAGCACTAGAGGCAAACCAGTTTCTTAATCTGTGGCTTGTGACCACATGTGGGGTCATGTAACTAAACATGGTGGTTGTGAAAAGTTTGGCAATGATAAAAGATTTCTGAATACATAGTGACAAAACTTAATTCAAAATTAAGTGTGCTGTGAATCTAAGGTGTTTTTAGAAGTGTTCATTTGTGATGTATAACAGAACTCCACTGCAGCTTGCCTTCAGAACATACAACATGTGCATTTTGTACAGTTCATAATGTTATGTCATGCAATGTGAATTAACACTGCCTGGGCTCAGACTATTGTGTTTTATGAATGGAAAAATATACATACAAAATTTTCTACTCCTAGAGAAACATAATGGTTTAATTACAGGAAACAAAGACTTTTAATATTTTCCCACTATCATTACTCAGCATGTAAGTATCAAATTAGTATATCTTTCAGTTGAGTTGTGTTTGAATGTTTGATTTTAAAATTACTGTTTGAACTGCAGACTTGAGTTTCATTGAAAAAAAGATTAAATGGATTTTGGGTTGAGATTAGACAAGATTTCCAACAATTACTGAAATGTCCCTAAGTATACTATTGCCATTTTATATTACATATTTATATGAAATGGCATTCTCAGTATTGATAACCATAAAATCAAATATTGCTCAACTCTAAAAAATATTGGAGGTGTTCTGCCTCTTATAGTATCACAGACCCACCAACGATTAATTCTTCATGCCAAAATACACGAGAGTATCTGTTTTCTTTCATGGTTAATACAGGGTAAAATTATATGTATATCAAAGATTTTTCATAGCAAATTTTTTGTATGATTTATTCTTTAGTAAGGATTTGATTTGTATACTTATTTTATAATCCTGTATACCTCAGATCACATAAGAATTTCTTAGGTCAAAGGGAGTTGCAAGCAGACAAGTTTGAGAAGGTCTATTTTAGAGCAGCCTTTTGGGCTCATTCTGGGCCATGTAGACAGATGATTCTGCTTTTGATTGGGAATCTAAACAAGCCTTTATAGCATTGTTTCTAAGGGAAAACACAGTTGGGGTCCCAAATAATGGAGATATACACTTATTAATGCATGGCCAGTGCCTATGTTGGGAACAGCCTGTTGTAGAAACCAAAATTTTCTTAAAAATGACAAAACTCAGTTTTCCCCTGCTTTCCTTAGGATAGCTATCCTTCACTGAGTCTTGCTCCACACATTTTACTATGTCACTTAGAAAATATTTTCTCTAAAGGTATCAGAGCATCTGTCCATACATCTATCAACATGCCTAGCTACTTCTTTGAATGTGCTAATGATAGTGTTTTAAAGCATTTCTACTTTATACTACATTTATACTAGTAGCTATACTTCTAGTAGGTAAGGAATTATTTGTACTGATCACCTACAGTTTTTAAAGCATGTATTAAATGAATATGGTAAAATGTTTTGTTACGATATTCCTATACATGTATACAGTATATTTTTATCGTATTCATCACCTCTATTACTCCTTTTGTATTAATTAAATTTGTTATTTGACAACTTCATTCATGTACATCATGCATACTGACTACTCTCATTTTTTTTATCCTCTCTCATTTCTGTACTATTCTTATCTACCTTCCCCTTCCTCTTGTGCTCAGGTTCATGTTCATGTACATGTTTTGAGACCCATCAAGATTAATGAGGACCATCTGTGTGACCATGATCTGGAGTTATGTACTGGAAATGGTGGGATTGGTCAGAAGTTATTAGACAACTGAAGATGGTGATGTACATTCTTCCAGAATATGTCAGTAACCAATAATTCATCAATAAGGGGTAGGGAGGGCTATTACTCTTTCTTATCTCCTCTTTTTCCCCTCCACATTCCTAGTAATCTCTTTTTGTGTGTTATAGCTGTGTGAAAGCGAAAGTTCTACTGGTCTATAGTTTTCTATTTTGTATAAGGCCCAGGACTAAATTTAATTTATCTTTGCACATCCTTTCTCCATCACAGGTCTTGAGTGGTAGACACTAAAAAATCTTTCTTACAATGAGACAAAACATTATTGTTGTGTTTCATTTTGAAATATATTACTATGACTCCTGGCAATGAGAAACTTAATTACAACTTCTTTGACTACTAAGATTAGTAAGGTCAAAAATATAAATTCACAATTGGTATTTTCAGGAAGAAGAAAACTATTTTATACCCTTGTGATAAAGACTGCCTACTTTTTCATCAAACCAATTTATTCTCTTTGGGTTCACAGCTACAGTGCATTTCGCAAGACATCTGTAGCTAGAAGTAACCTAAATTCCGGGCAATGGTTTCATATGTAGCCTTTCATGGCTCTTTCTCCAATTTTTAGTTGAGTCTGAAGGAGTGTGGAGCCTAGAAGAAGGTGAAGACTTGAAATGGAAGGTTATTTAATCAGGAACACCCATTTTGAATTGTATATGAGCAAGAAATAAACTTCTATTGAATTCAGCCACTAAGATTGAAGGGCTTGTCACCCAAACTAATACATTGCCTGAACATTTTTTTTGAGAAGTGTTTTGTTTCTTTGTACATGTGTAGAATGTTTGTTTTTTGACAGCAATTCTCTGACACCAACTGAGTGTCCTACAACTCGAATGAATTTTGGCATTAAGGGACTGGGACCAGTGCAGACCTCACAGGTTAAGGGGTTAGCTCACCGGACTTTCTTAGGCTCAGATGCCAGTCATAAGTCCTCCATGTTTCAAGGTCACTTGCATGTCTTTCTAGTCAGTTAAAACTTGGAGTGATCTCATGACTATCCCCCCCCACTTTCAATTTCAAGAACTTGTTTGATTGATCCAGAACTCACTGAAAGAACGAATTTTAAGATAAACTTTTTGTAAAGGATGCAACGTAGGAGCAAGCCAAATGGAAGAGATAATTAGAGCAAGGTCTGAGGGAGGAGGAGGGAGGGGCATGGAGCTTCTATGCCTCCTCTTTGTGGAATCTAAAGATCCACTTTGCAAGAACATCAATAGGGAGATGTTATTGAGTCTCAGGGTCAAGGGCTTCCGTTGAGGTTTTTTATTATGCAGCATTTCTCCTTAAATCATTGGCCACATGATTGAATCCACTCTCCAGTATTGTACTTTGTATTTTTGGTGACCAGCTTCCACTGGAAGCTACCTAGGGGATCCACCATGAGTCGTCTAATCAGCATAAACTCATATATGAATGAAAGGTGATTATTATGAATAACAAAAGCTCTTCTATTAAAGATTTCAAGTGTTTTTGAAGCTTTGTGTCAGGGAAAAGGCCAGATATATTCTTTATTATATCACAGTGGTAAATGGCAAAGGCCAACCTTTGCAGTATAAAAAATTGGTTGTTTGAGATTATTGATCAAAGATTGTCTGGACTGGGGCTTGCTCATGAGGCCTTCCCTGCTTAAACTCTAAAGCTTTCTCCTTTGTAGTGGATCTTTTCAGTTCTTCACCCCTATTACACATTTGCTTTCAAGTTAAGTTAGAAGGGAAGTTCCTACTCATGTTTGACTGGTCAATAGGTATTTTAATCATCTTAACTTCACTATTCCTTTTGTATCCCGAATTCTACTATGTTAATAGCTTACTTGTTGAACATTTATCACTCTTTTTGATTATAAAATGCATATATGATAGCCAAAGTATAGTAAGAAATAACAAATATTAACATCACAGTATATTTTTATAATCTTTTTGTATGCATATATTTACAAATTAACAATATTTTTACTTACATATTTGTAGTTATATTGCATCTAGAAATAATATTTTTAACTTCCCTTAATAATCATCTTATATTATTCAATATTTTTTAAAATCATTTTTAATAATGTAGTAAAAAATGTAACAAAAGCCCACATATCTGCTTTAGTTATAGATATATCATGATTTATTTGGACATTCACCAATGATCTGAATATTTTGTTTTTTTCATTTTTAATGTTATAGACAATATTATGATGAGCATCTTTTATAGTAAGCATTGTGAGTTTTGGACTATTTCTTAAATATTTCAAATACAAAATTTAGTATATTTTGAGTTATTTGCATTTTCAGTAATGTGAAGCTTTCTGTTGAACAATTTGGTACTAGGAAAAAGAATAAAGGCACTGTATCTTTTGATGTGGTGGTTCTTTGATTATGGAGAATTAAGAATGAATAAACAAAGACACAAGATGTTTTTCCGGAAATGTTGTAGCAGTTCTTACTTATAATAATGAACCATAGCAACTACTCAAACATATCCAGCTACATACACAAAATCACAAGCATGATATATGGATGGAAATGATCTGGTATTTGGAAATATACACAAATTAACAATAGAACAGGTGACAAGAAGTATATACTAACTGCCTGTGTGAAAACATATTGCTCTGTGCTGATAAAAATTGGATGAGAATTTACTGTAACATCAAGATTGGTGACTTAAGTTTATAGAATTCTTTTCTGTAAGCTTGTTTAAATATTGTGGCAGTTTGCCTTTTAAACTCTCTCCCTCAAATTGCCTCAGGAAAGAAGATTTTATCTGAATGTTGATCTACTGGAAATAACGGGTAGGAAGATGTCAATAAGTGGCGAGGTTTTAGGAAGAAGAGCTTCTCTCCTTTAGTCCTGTTCATCCTTGTGCATCATTTTTGTTTCATACAAGGATCCGCCCAGATTTGTTTTTCATCATTTCTATGCACTTATTTGGTATCTGCTTTTCATTATCCTATCAAGATATTAGAACTCCCAAAGTCATTTTAGAGAAAGAAACACTCCACCTTTCTTGGCAAAATTTTGTTTGAAGTCTGGGGATCCTGAAGATATTATACAATTGGTAACCTTCTACCTGGTGCTGCTCAACTCATTCTTTTTTTTTAAATCTATGTGCATGTGTGTATGTCTGTGTATGTACACGTGTGTGCAAGTGCCAGTGGGGGCCAGAAGAGGACATTTGTCCCCTGGTACTGGAGTTAAAGATGGTGGTGAGATGCCTGACATGGATTCTGAGGAC